AACTCTGTCATATTTCCCTAGAGGTGGAGGAGACAACTCTGGGGGAAAACCACCACACCCCTCAGGCTTTCCCATGCAGGGGATGATGGGTGATGGCCCACCACGGATGGGGATGTCAATGCAGGGGATGGGGGGGATGCCAGGGGGCCCCGGTGGGGGAATGGGCCCCCAAGACATGCCAATGGGTAACCCTGGTCACAACTCGATGCGGCCACCGGGGTTCATGGGTCAAGGAATGATGGGCCCCCAGCACCGGATGATGTCCCCGGGGGGTCCAGGTGCGATGATGCAGGGGAGACAAATGACCCACCCAGGCCCTGGCGGCTCACCTAACATGATGATGTCACTGCAGGGCATGGGTGGTCCCCCACAGCAGACAATGATGATGGGGGGTCAGATGAGGCCACGAGATATGGACATGGGATTCAGTCCGGGTCCCGGAATGTTCTAATCTTTTGAAACTTTGTATCTAGAATGTTCTTGGACAAAGTGTAAGGATGGAGTTTTAAGATTATGGTGTTGAGAGCGTGTTCAGTAAACTGACAAACTCTAATAAAGGAAGTATAACGAAACAGTAAAGTCATTTGGTAACTATTCCAGTGGAGACTCGGACAGGCCCAGCTTGGAGTACTTTTGCCACAAGAACATTACTTTTGACTCATGAACTTCAGAATGTATGGGATTGTTGTGCATCAAATTTGCAGGACTGTTTCTGTGTTTTTTGATTATCTGACTACAAAGATGACTTCATCGTCAAAGAGGAATCAACCTTACAAAGAGTCAGCGTGGAGATGCAGCGGTGTGTCTACTTTTTTCAAAATTAAAAAAAAAACAACAAAAATGTGTCATCAAAGTGGTATGGAACAAGAGAACGGAATAAGAAGAAGAATTTGTGCTTTGTGAAAACTTTAGTGGAACTCCATCATGTCTTTCGCGCCATTGTTTTGACTGTTTCTGTACAGTATACGTGTGGGAATGCGTGAGTGTGTAAGAATGTATGTGTGTTTGTGTGGTATGTATGTGTCTGTATGTATAGGCATTCTATCAGTGACCTCTCAACTTCCTCTTACCCAACTTTCACTGGGGGAGGAATGCCCCCTTAAAATACTGTACTGTTTACCATTGGTGGGCTATTCGAATTTTAGTCTATTTTAATTTCCTTTGTAACTCCAGTGTATAACAAACCAAACTATGACCTCATTAAGATAATAGTATTATTAAAAAAAAGCACAAACATGGACCGTCTGCAGAAAGCATCTTCTTTTTCTATTTTAACCATTTAAGAGCAACACATTGTGAGGATCCTGGCAGCTTTGCAGCACAATAATAATCTCCACTCCATTTTGAACTGGTGGATGACGGTTGACGCGGTGCTCTAAAACTTTCAGGACTTGACTCTCACCAGTGTGAATAGTAATACTGCTAATACCCAGATGTGCTATGTGTGTGTTCTTCTTGTTCCTGTTGTGTTCCTGTTTTGTTTTGACTCTCTTGTTGACTCTGGGTAATAATCATTCCCACAGCAATAAAACCCCAAACGGTCAGCAGAATGGGACAGGAGTGGCCCACATGCCACAGCAGGTATGCCAGGTATATTAGAACTAGAACTAGGTAGATCTGGTAATAAAAAACATTTTTTTTAGTACGGCAGGTGAGGTGTCCGGAGCGAGACACGTTGAAATGTTAACAGTTACTGCATACCATCCAGTTGACTTCCTCTCTTTCTCTCTTGTATAAGCTTGTCATGTGTTTCTCCATTGGCTTTGGTGCAAGATAGCCTACCAGGGCTGTGGTGATGGACTACAAATAAAAGATATTGTTTTGGTATATACATGTTGTCCACAAAGTGTGTATGTTTGAATGTGTCTACGTGGCTATTGACGTCAAGCCAGTCGTGCTGACCAATTATTTGTTGTCATGGTACGTGTCAAACCAGCTTACCAGCATTCAGAAAGAACCAGTCCAACCAATGAGATAAATTAGTGTTTTGTTTTGTTTTTTTCCAGAGGACATCACACTTTGGAAACCGGTGCAAGGAAGGTTCATGTCAGAAGAACAAGAATGAATATCATTGAGCAAATCCTTTATTTACCACATCAATCAAACCATTCAACTGTGTAAGTACAGACCATGAAATAACATCAGGACTGGACTGAACTTTGGTACACAGGGTAAAGCTGCAGAAGTCAGATGGAAGTTTTCAATCGGTAATAGTTACTGATGAAACGGAAACTTCAGTTTCCATAGTCTTATATACAAACACCTACTATAAAAGCCACTGGCTACTTTCCTGTGTTCTTCTGTGGCATTACTTTACAACCAGAGCCAGACACCAAGCTAATACTGTCCAGTTCTTATATGCAGTCTATGTGAGCTTTGTGAGCAGCAGATCATAAAACACTAATAATGAGCCATAATTGGTGTTAATTGTGACTAAAAAAAATCTCTGCTCTATATAGTGAGCATGTTTTCGTGCCAACATTACACTGTGGTTGGATACTGCCAGCAAATCCCCACAAGACTGTAACCTAAAAAAGTCACTCTTAAATAAGCACACGCACAGTAATAAACAATGCTGCTTGTTGTACATGGGCCAATGGTGTACAAATTGCTTCATGCACACCTTTAGTTGCAGTACATGAAATGCTTTGCATTCCCAGGAGGACTGAAACGACTGGGTACAAAGTTGATTATGGCAGGTTAACTGCATCACTAATTAGATCTAGGCTTTCATGATGCCAAATTGTTAAGACACAGCCTCCGTCTTCCCACTGCTGGTCCTAAGACTGGATAAATGCAAAGGGAGGGTTTGAACAAGAACAGCACCAGACAAAAAACTAAATCTACATGGGGATTGTTTGTTTTTGCCCCAGCAGAATGCATCAATCAAGCATTATTAACCTCAACTTGTACGATTACAATGCACGTACCATTTGCTTAAGCAACTATTTTGGACGTAACTAAAGCAAATCAGAATCAGAAAATATCAAAACACCAGGAGCAAATTTATACCAACAATAAAACAGATATGTTGTAAATGTAATAGTGCATGTGCAGTTAGCTGTTTTGACTGAGTGAAATGTGTCAGTTTTATTTACTGAGATGGAAAAAAAAAACTTGATCTATTCATTTTTTTAACTGTAATTCTATTCAACTACTAGGGTCACATGGAAGTGAAGACAGTGCACTAAAAGATTCCCTTAAGATGTTCAGTGTGTTGTGACATAGAGGTTTCATCATGTTGAAAGCTGCGGTGTACTATCAGAGATCAGTATCTGAGGTAGCGCTGGTCATTGATGTGCTTTAGTGGACTCGGGGCTTGGTTAGGCCCTGAGTGTTGTCACAAAGGGACTGGTGGTGTTGAACACTCAGGGAGTATGCCGAGATGGCTTTTTTAAACTCCTGCAGGGGACAGTAGACTCCACTGCAACCGGGGATTTGTTGATCCTGGAAAAATAAATAAAGAAAATGACATCACAAAGATGAAATAAGACTCCATCTTCAATGTAGATCCATTCTAAATCCTTACCTGGCCTGAATATGAGACCTTGACAAAGGCTTCCTTGGTCTGTCTGTGCTGATGCAGCTCCAGGGTTATGTCGGCGGCGTACGGTGGCCATCTCATGTCAAAAATCCCCAGAGCCATTAGACAAGGAATTAAAGTGGTGTCATGTGCAGAGTAGAGGAACAGCTTCCTGTTTGAGAAAGGATTTAAAGAGAGGACAATAAACAGACGTTACAGTCAGGAGGATATGTACGACTGGGTGTGTTCATCCTCAGGAGTCCAACCTGTTTGGCTCTGACAGGGTGCCCTGCACTTTCTCCTCCATGTTGGTTAACATTGTGTGCAACACTGCTCCCACACACAATTGCAAGCTCTGGCTGCCAAAATAATAATAAAAAACCCAATAAATACAACAAGGCATTAGATGGAAAGATGTTGAAAATTGTTGTTATTCCTTAAATATTACAGCAGTGTCAGCTTTGTTGAAACTAACCTGTTGCTGGGTTTGTAGACGTGGCAGATCATATCCACAGCTCTCTTTTCCACTATGTTCTTCCATGTGTTGAGAACCGAGGGGTAGGGAAGACCGTGAGCCTGTTCGTGTGCACAAACATTACAATGAGGTTAGGGACCACATTAGGGCGATGGTTCAAATGAATGGTGAAAGGTTATTTGGTAAGACTAGACATGGCTTTGGCTGTGTTGGATACAGATCATTCAGGTGAAACTATGGTTTCGTTCCAAACTCCTAGAAAAATAACCTGACACACTGCACTTTTGTATTTTTCAATAAGAAATTGATGAAAATTGCATTGTTTTGACCATGACGTTAACGTACAAAAGGTGTCAGATTGATCCGTCATTGTGTGATCAGCTCATGTTGCCTTAGACACAAAATCACTTCCTGTCGTCTCCACTAGTGTCACCAAAATCCTCGACCACTTCCTATATACATTCTATGGCTGTAACTAAAAAAAAAGTGACAGATTGTCAACTATGAATTGTAACTACGACGATAATAATATACAGTGGTGAGGTGGAAAAGGCAGAGGTGTCAAACCAGT